ATTGTTAACAAAGGCTTAAACTCAACCTTTCTTTGTCTCATTCCAAAGAAAGGGGGAGTCTTGGAGGGTAAAGACTTCAGACCAATAAGTTTGATAGGGAGCACTTATAAAATTCTAGCTAAGGTGTTGGCAAGAAGGCTAAAAGAAGTGCTAGGAGACCTAATTTCCCAAAATCAATGTGTTGGACAGCATTCTAATAGCAAATGAATGTTTGGAAGACAAGAAAGTTTTTGGGAATCCGGGGTCCTAGTCAAACTAGATCTTGAAAATGCTTATGATAAAGTGGATTGAGATTGCATTTTAGACTGCCTTAAGAATTGGAAGGAAATGGATCCGATGGATCAAAGGCTGTATTGGTTCTTCTTGGTTTTCAGTGCTGCTAAATGGAGAACCTAAGGGCTATTTTCAAGGTTAGCAGGGGTCTCAAACAAGGTTACCTGTTTCTCCCTTTTTCTCTTCACCTTGGTGATGCACATTTTTAATTATCTTTTTTGATTAGGCCAATCTTCTTAATCTGGTGAAAGGATTTCAAGTGGGAAGAGATAAGATTTGCATTTCCCACTTATAATTTGCTGATGACATCATCTTGTTCTTGGATATCTCTTTAATCAACATCTCAAACACAAAAAAGGGTAATTGAATACTTCGAATTAATCACTGGACTGAGGGTTAACTTCTGCAAAAGTGGTATAGTTAGCTCTAAACTCAATGGAAGAGGAACTTCTAGAAAACCTCAAATCTTTGTTGGGATGTAAAGTGGAGAATCTTCCTATTTCCTATCTAGGGATGCCTCTTGGAGGGAATCCAAGAACTTTCAACTTTTGGGGGCCGGTGGTGGAGAAATGTGAGAAGAAATTAGCATCTTGGAAGAAGTGCTATCTTTCAAAAGGGGGAAAGCTTATTCTCTTAAAGACCTCCTTAGAAAATCTGCTAGTCTACTTCCTTTCAGTATTCCAAATTCTGACCAAAGTCAGAAATTAGATTGAGAAGCTTTAAAGGAACTTTCTTTGGGAAGGTGGGGAGAAAAGAAGCCACTTAGTCAGTTGGGAACAAGTTTGCAAGCCTAAAGAGGAAGGAGGTTTGGGAATTGGGCACTTGAAAGAGAAAAATTCCTCTCTCCAGGGTAAATGGCTTTGGAGGTTCCCTAAAGAATCCAATGCCCTTTTGGCAGCTATCATTTCAAGCAAGTATGGGTCAAACACAAACGGGTGGGATAACAATCTCCATTTGAACAAGATAAAGTCAACAAATCCTTGGAAAGGTATAGTCTCCACTCACACTTTTTTCTTTCCTTTTATAAGATATAAAGTAGGTAATGGTTCTAAAATAAAATTTTGGAAAGACCTTTGGTGGGGAGAATTTACCCTTGCTGCCTCTTTCCCCAGACTTTTCAACCTCACCCTAGACCAAGAAGCTACTGTTTCTTCCTGCCTTCCAGACCAAACTGCTGAAAACACCTTGGACCTTCGCCTTAGAAGACCCCTAAGAGACCCAGAGATCTCTGACTTAATTGCTTTATTTCAGACCCTTTAAGAAGCCTACATTTCCTCCTCCTCCTTTGACACCCGAGTCTGGACCCTCCACCCAACTGGCGATTTTTCTTCTAAGTCTATGTTCATGGCTCTGACTGCAGGTGAGCAAAATTCCTCTTTCCCTTTCAAGAAGATCTGGTTTAGCCATATCCCACCAAGAGTCTGTTTCTTTGTTTGGGAAGCTTGTCTTCTGAGATTAAATACTTGTGATCTCCTACAGAAGAACTTGGGAAGACTATCTCTCCTCATGTTTGCATTTTATGTTTGAGTGAGGGTGAATCAGCAGATCACATTCTTCTTCACTGTAAGTTCACTCAAAACATATGGTTTCATTTCTTGAGAATGTCGGATACAATTGGGTTATATCAGAGCATATTCTGGATTTCTTGCATCAGTGGTAAGGAATAGGCCTAAGAAAAAGGGTTAAAGTTTATTGGCATCTGTGCTACATGCAGTAATGTGGGAGAGTTTGGGATGAAAGAAATAAACGCCTATTTGATAATAAATTTAGGCCCCTCAAAGAGTTAATTTCAGATATCACTTACCTTTCTAACTTCTGGACTGTCAATTCAGATATGTTCAAAGGTCTCTTAGTCAATGACCTCAATAGAGATGCTCACACCTTTCTGTTTCTTCCTTAAACTCAACAAGCAATCCTTGAGACAGCCAGCTGTTCTCAGTGATGGAGTGGTGACCCTAAACTTTAATGGAAGTGCTTTAGGTAATCATGGCTTAGCTGGCATTGGAGGCATAGTAAGGGATGCAAGGGGCAGCATCTGCTGGACTTTCAGCAGTCCAATTGGATTGGCTGATTCTACAAAGACTGAAGTGGTGGATGCTCTAACCGGAATCAGAGTAGTGAAAAATTTGGGAATTCAGAACTCAACCATTACAGGTGACTCAGCAAACACTATAAAATGGTTAAGGGACAAGGAGGGGGGAACCTTGGAGACTGAGCCACTATTTGGCAGAGGCTAGGGACTCCCTAGGCTGTTAAAATGCAAGATTAACTTGGATTCCTAGGAAACTAAATCATATAGCAGATGGATTAGCCATATGTGGTGTGCATTTGGATTATTTGTATAGTGACAAGTTTCCTCCTCTGTAGGCTTTTGGGGATCTTCCCCTGTTTTGTACATCTTCTCATGTACCTCTTCTTTCTTTAATGAAATTTGGTTAAATTTGCCTTAAAAAAAAAAAAAACAAAAAACAAAAAATCCTGGCCCCTCCGGAATTGGAGGTGTAATCAGAGATGAGGAAGGAAACATACGTGCTTTCTTTGTCAGGTCCAATTGAGCAAGGTGATGTGGCATCTGCAGACTTCTTGTCTGCTGTTTTTGGAGTTGAGAAAGCCAAAGAATTGGGTATTGAAAGATTAATTATTGAAGGTGACTCCAAAACAGTAGTAGAATGGCTAAAGAAGGGTGAGGGAGTATCTTGGCATCTAAGGAATGTCCTTAGGCATTTCAAATGGCTCTCTAGGGGCATGTTTATTCAGGTTAATTGGATTAGATCTGCCAAGAGTCTGGCAGATGGTCTAGCTCAGCAAAGGGGTTCAGAGACAGTATGTTTTGGGCTCAGCTGTAATATGTTCAGGGGGTTTAGACATTTGGTGTCATCTGTATTTTCCACAACGTTTTGCTTCTCTGCTTCCTTTTAAAATTAATTAAATCCTTTCATGAGTTCCTGATAAAAAAAAGATATACCTGCATCAATTTCAGTCCTTTAGAGATGTTGGATGATTGTTGTTGGAAGCTTTCGTGAGGTATTATTGAAACTTGAAATCTTGCAGAGAAAGAAAGGAAAGCCTAGATTCACTGTAGGGTTGGTAGAAACCATTTACCATCACAATAGTAAGCAAGATTTGACTAAAAATAGTATCCATGTTTTGACAAACATAAAACAAACAAACAAAGACACATATAGACTATAAGATTGGCCCAAACTCTGTTTTAGTACAATTCTGCCACTGTAATATAAAGTATAAGCTACTAAACTGAACTCACTGAAAATTTAAACATCACTAATGACATGACTTAAAAGTAATCATCTCTTGGACTAGATGCAATAGAAATGTACCTTGGACTCTAAAAAATGTCTACAGGGAAGTTGAAAGAATTGCAAGAGAGTCAAATGCTGAATTCAAGTGGGTAAAGAGTGCAAATGGGTTGGCTGATTCCCTTGCTAAACAAGGGACAGCAAGGCAACAATTGTTTTGGGCTTGTTTGTAGTCTAGCTTATGTTTTTGGGGAGACACTCTGGTCAACAAATTGTAATGCTTTTTCACATGTCAATTATTAAACAAAGTTATTTGCTGATCAAAAAAAAAAAAAGATTAAGATACCCCTCTGACTAAATTCAGCCCAAATCCCATGAACAATGTCTTTAAGTGTGCTGATTGATCCCTATTACCAAGGCACCAAACATATCCTTTTTTCTAGAACATGTAGATTAAGATAAACATGACCATATGCAATTTGCACCCTTTTGACCTATATCACCTTCTCATACCACAAAAACCATCGCGAGAAATATATGGGTTATATTTTCTACGGGATTTGGCTTTATTTGTTCCATTGATATTCATTAACTGGAATACCAATAAAAAACATTTATTAACTTGAATGCTCTGTCTGTCCTGTAGCAAACAACTAGACAGCTGGAGAAACTAATGTGTTCATACTTCGTATATATACCCCCTCCAAATTCTTTTGAATGTGTTCATATTCACTCTTGTTAACAAAAAAGGAATGTTCTTGCAAAAAAGAAACCTAGATTGCTGCTACTATGTTGATTTGAAGTTTTTACTCCCAATGTGTGTCTTTTTATGACATCACAGAAACAACATGGTCCAATTGATAACTGTTGGTCATATCAAATTTAAATTACCAGTTTCTTTGGTCCAGGCAAAATCTGGTCTGTGTTTCCAAGGGCAAGAACTTGGAAACAGGAATATACTTCATAAACAGCCCATAGACTGCACCCAAGGTACAGCAGATGCTATTCCCAACAGAAGGATTTGATAAATATTATAAAATGAACAAGAACTGAGAGAAAGCTTACCTCCAACAAGAGAGGTGGAGGGAACAAAAAAAGCACCCCAAAACCCAAATTGGAGATGCCTTGCAGTGAATTTCTTTGGTTATGCAACTGGAGCAACAAAGTTCTTTATCTGGTATTGTAACTTGGTTGTGCATCTTAAATGTAGATCCTGAAAATTCAGTCTCTTAGGCTTAAGGGTTAAGAACCACCTTCTGGGATTCAAGAATCCAATAAAGTGATTCCATGTTAAGACTTAAGATTAAGTCTAGACTATAGAAAACTTACCTATAAAAACAAAAAGAAAAAAATACAAGTCTATGAGAGACTTATTTTTGGCAATTTGCAGAGGCAATTGTAACTCTGTTATTATTTATTTCATCTATTTGTTTATTTATGCTTAACAACTAAGTGTTGCATCCATGTAAGGTGGGAAGCTGCACATATCCCGAAAGTGAAAGTGGCAAAACTTGATAAGACCAAGCTTATGAGTGATCAAACAGTTTATATGCCCAAGATTCCAGATATAGCAAAGTGCCCAGAGCACCTTCTGCCATTGAAAGAGTGGGAGGATTCTTTCCTTTCTGATTTTTCAGAGCTTAGAATGGTTAGTTTTTCTGATCTTCAATTTTTTTAAACCATCTCTCTCTCTCTCTCTCTCTCCTGATCTAATAATGCTGATTTTGAGTTAAGAACTATGGTATGACTGACTACTTGTTGAGAAACTGTAATACTGACTGGACCTTTGTAATCCTATGCTGTTTAAGTACTCTCTGTGGAAACTTCTTTTCCCTTCTACTTGTACAGAAACTTCTTTTCCCTCCCAGGGGTGCCACCAGGGCTTGCCAAGTTGTCTTGATGGCCAATCTAAATCTAGCGCATGGGACTAACAATCTGTTTATAACCTGATCTAAAGGTCTCTAAGGAGCTCAATCTGAACCTGATTGACACTAGTCCAACCTGAGTGGGGGCAACAAAGTGTGGAGAAGATTGGATAAACAAATTACATAAGCAATCCAAGTAAAAACCTCTTTCTCAGAACTCAAAGGCATCCTCTAATAAATAATAGGCATTTTGAAACAAGCTAGAATGAAGTAATTTCATTTGTGTGTACATTGCATTTGAGAGTACTAGGTAACCATCTTAAATAAAGTTGTTCCTTTTAAGAGTAGGATTCTTTGAAGCAAGGTCAGTGCAGGATCTCATAAAATAAATAATTTTTGGCCCATTTTTTTTCCTGCTGATTGAAAATAACCTCATTTTAGACCAAGAAATTGTGAATTTATATTTTATTTTATGTCACAGACAGGATCAGCCTATATTGTGTTTTGTTGTAGGCGTTGCAGCTAAATGTCCTGGGAATCTTATCAAGGAAAATCAGTCTGTTGAGGGGCATAACTCTTATGCTATGTTTGGTTTTGAAGGTGAAGTTAGGGAAACAAAGGGAAAGGTAAGGAAACCTGTATTTTGTAAAGGTTTCCCTACCTCTCCCTTCCTTTCCCTACTTTTTCCTTCAAACCAAACACAGCATCAGGGTTAACATTGTTAAATAGTCTGCAGGACAAAATTCTGTTGCTCGATGAAAACATAAATTTTGGTGCTTTAAGTTTTTGAACCCTGTGAAGGTCATATAACAGAAAAAAAAAAAAAAAGAGCCCTGTTTTATGGATGAAAAGTATCATTCATGTTTCCTTTTTTGAGGGGTGGGGGGCTCTTTATGCATAGGGGGAAGAGCTCAATTAATAGCAACAGAACTTAGTGACTTGCACTGGTTGATTGGTTCTTAGAATTAGTCAAATTATTTGTACCATTTAAATGCCTTACCAGATTAATCCCGAGTTCCTTTTCTATCAAATTGACATTAGACAGCTGTTTGTGTGCATGGATGTGGGTGTGGGTGTCTGTGTGCATGTGCAAGAGCATGCTTTCTGCGCTTTCACTTATTTATTTGACTTTTCAGCATTGGCTTAATTTCTTCCATTTGTTTTAATAATTTCAGGCTCTGTTGGATATTGGAAGTACTAGTAACAGATACTCTCACTGCATGCAACCTTTGGTGACTGCAATTGAAACTACCAGCTTGCAAAAGCATTGTGATAGTACTGATCTTAACAATTTTGAAGACCTGGAATTATTTACGACTATTGATGAAGTTGAGACCTGCCAGCATCTTGGGAGTTTTGGGCCTAAAGGTTCTGATAACCAGAAACTACTCACACTCTCTGGTGAAGACAACAACTGCCAGCCTCTTGAGAGTTGCATTCTCAAAACTACAGGTAACCACCACCAGTCAGATCTAACTGATGGAGCTCCTACATTGCCTGCAATATTAGGAATGGACTTCATATCTCGAGCTTTGATGCTTAAGAGTCACATACACTCGTTAGAAACCAAAAACGGTTTGTCTTGGGATGATTGTGCATGGTTATTTGCTCTATGTGCATCCGTAGATACTCCTTTTGATGCTGACATGTCTGCATCAATGCGAAGTTTACTTAGAAAGTGTGCAAGCTTGCGAGCTGGAAAATCTGAATCCGATGACGAGGTTGTGATGCTGAACATACTGGTCACGATTGCTGGGAGGTATTTTGGGCAGTCAGAAGGGTGAGGCCAAACATAAATGGTTATCTTCAGGTAAAGGCCATCCTTATCAAAAAAGTGTTAATATAGGCTTGTAAGATCACTTCATTATCTTGGTATTAGCTTTTTGGACAAGTGAAGATGAAAAGGAACCCTTTTCTCAATGATTTTGCATGGAAAATTGGTATAGATGAATAATGTTATTCTCTTCTTGAAAAAACAGGGGTTGCAATTCTCGACCCAACCTATGCAATCCGTCCAACCAACTCATTTATCAGGGGGTTGGATTGGTGATTTTATCCATGCTTTCTAACGTGTCAAAATACTCTCCCCACCTCCAAAATCAAACCAGTGTTTCAGATTCAGTTGCATATTCTCGCAAAAAATTCAACCGTAAATCTTCGATGTAGCTATCTTGTGAGCTGCAGTTGACTTAAGAGAAAGATTCAAATATCAAGGGACATGGATATCAGTATCATATGGCATTGAAACCTACATATTATCTTTTTATTTTTTGGCACAAAAAAAGAGACCACTAATCAAGCTTTGAAAACAGTACAGTTTTGTTCCAGGGCTGGGTGAGTGCACAGATCTCTCAGCCAGCTCGGTTCCATATCTTGGAATTCCATACCTCTCCTTATCATCCTAGCTTTAGTCTCTTGTTATATTATGTGCAGCTGTATCATATTCCTTAGGTATATATACAAATTGATAGTAATCAAAAGATTGTAAAAGATAAGAGGCCTCCTTTCCCATCTTGGTTTCTTAGTTGTACTGATGTCCTTCATTATATAGGTTGGGCATCCATAAATATCTGAGTCCTGTGGAGAGTCCATCATTCAGCCTGTACTGCATGTTGAGCAATGCAAAAGTTTCCAATTGTCACAATGAAAGAGTCGGAAGGCGAGAAAAGAACATATCCTACTGTGGATTCATGCAAATTTACACAAGAATCATCAACATAAATAACATAAATGGAAAAACAAGTATTGTTATGCATGAATGATGCTGTATTTTGCAGCTTAGGAGTTGGGAGTACTTCCGATGCTGAAATTGATAGGTACTGGTAGCTCCAGTATTGAACTCTTCTTGGGTCTGGCTTAACTCTTTTGAAAACAGCCTTATTTCATTCTTCCCAAATAAATCGGGCATACACAATTTCCACTGCTCAATTGACTCTATAAATAAGGTATAAGCATGCACTAAATATCAACATTTTACAGGTTATGTGAAGTAATTCAGTGTAAAACATACATCAACCCACTGTAATTTTTAAATATATATAAATATAAATTTGTACTAAAACTGCGTACTTTATAGAATCAATACTAATGCTGTGATGCGCTCATTTAGATTGTGAAATCTGATTGGCCATTTGATGATCCCACCGAAAATGTGCTGATCATGAGGCCAAACAGTTCTCTTCGATACCTCCAAATTCCAAACGGGTGGTGAACGAAAATGATGAAACCCCTGATCAGGTCAAAATTATCCCACAGACCAACTCATGAATTTAGCCCACAAAGCAAGGTAGCAACTAGAGAGGATCATCCCCAGGAATATCCACATACGTATTGGATTCTATTACCATCTAATTTAAACAGTAATGTTATCACATCTCATGAACTTGGTAGTTGGTATTACAATTTAGAGAATGCTGGAACAAATTGAATGTTGGTAGTTAATGTTATTGTTGTTTTATTCATTCTATAAGAAATAGGATAATGCTAATCTTACCAATAAGAAATGCAGATAGCATCCACACATGCATTTCCTAGTAACAGTACTTCGCTGTACATAATGACAATATTCCAAATCAACCGCTGAATTGAATTCATAGATACCATGTTAATTTCCTTTTTTTTATTTCTTTTGAAGGGCGATACAACGGGGGCTAACCCATCCCCCAACCAATGTTCATTTCTTATGCGTGTGGCATTAGCATCCCCTTGCAGATACTGAGGTTAGTCCTCCACCTCTCTCTTGGGTAGAAACCACATATATTAAGCAATGAGTAAATACTAAAAAAGGCAATGAGTATGTTTTGTAACGCCTTTCCATCTCCCATCAGTGTGTATATATATATATATATATATATTGAATTGCCTCATCAGTATAAAATTTGATACTCCCCCTTGTCTCACCTATTAATAAAAATCAATAATTTTTATTTTTTAAAAGCCTAAAAAGGGGAAGGGAACAAGTCATGAAGCTCTCCATGTCTCCATGTGTCTTGCATATAAAAAGTTTCAACAGTAATCTTTGCAAATGAAAATGACCTTGGTTTTCCCTTCAATATCTATATCAATTTTCTATTGTATTCTGCATTCATTTATGCAACCAAGTTCAGATATTAGCTCAAGAAGAACAAGATTCCAATGTGACGATCAACATTCAATGTTGGTTAACATGATTATGAATATAAAGACGAGTTTGGCTAGCATTTTTCTTGCTCTTTGCTTTCCTCCACTTCATATTCCTCATCATCGTCATCGTTATCATCTTTATCAATGTCCTCATCACCAAACAAACTACTTCTTTGAAACCTGCCCAGGTCATCCTTACCGCCATCCTCATTCATCAAGTCCAGGCCAAATTTAACATCCCTGTGCTTTACTAAGAGCCAGCGGAGAAGCCTATCTTCCTTATTCAGATAATGCAACTCCTTATTGAAGTTGGGAGTTACCATCATTGTCATCTGCATCAGCTGACCCTGTTTGAGGCAATATCAAAATGGTGTTTATTACTTTTTTATACAATTAGAAACAAGTTTTGGTGAAAGGGAAAATTTTTCTCAATCTACTTGGAGAAAAAGACTATCAAGCTTCCAAATACATGAGATGGCACAACTCCAACATGAGTGCATCTGTTTATTATGTCAAAACCAATTTCTTATAATTTCCAACACAGTGTTTATCAAGGAAATAAAAGAAGCAGAAAAAAAAAGATGCCCTTATATACCTATCACATATGTTCTGTAAAAGATTAACACATGGCAAAAATAATCACTTTCTTCTAATTCCAATCATTATAGTGATAAATCATTCTGAAGGGGAACTTGTCTAAAAATTGTATTATTTTTGCAAGCTGCATTTATTGTCTAAACTTAATTCCGCTAGGCTTTCAGACCACCCTTTTCCATAGTTACATTGAGAGCTTAATTTCCTGACAATGTGATGTCAATATATCAATACGCTATTGGATTTTAGAAACAGACGTTTCTTTCTTTTTTTTTTTTCTTTTGAAGGGCTATACAATAGGGGGTAGCCTATCCCCCAACCCCCAACCCAGGTGCAGGCGGGACTCGATCCCAAGTCTCCGCTACGACCAGCAGGAGACTATGTAACGTATTTTACCTAGTGGGAGTGGGATATAGGTGGATCATGTAAATAGATATTCTTATTGTGCCATTTTCACGTCTTCATGTAAGCATTTCTCATTGTGCTATTAGAAACTATAAATAACTAAATTTTAACAAGAAGCATAGTTTCCCAATTGTTCCCTTTCCTACTCAATCTAGCAAAATAGGGTTGAAACCACCCACTGACTTGAGTAATGAAAAAGACTCCGGAAGTGCACCAGAATGGGTTTGCAAATGGTATCCATTTGTCCAAATTCAAATATGAATCCAATCTGATTAATGCAATCTAAATTCAATCTGTTTATAATTGGATTAAATATGGATTCACCCCCAATCAAATTCAATAATATTTAATTATATATCCCATTTACTTCCTCCACCTTCCGTATCTCGGTCAAAATAGTAAGACAATTAGAGAAGTATATGAGAGGCTTTCTTTGGGAACCAGGAGAGGACAAAAAGGATCACTTAGTTAAATGGGAACAGGTCAGTAAGCCCAAAGAAAGTGGAGGTCTAGGGATAGGAAACATTATCTCTAGAAACACTGCTATATTGGGTAAGTGGTTATGGAGATTCCCATTTGAGAGTGATAGGCTGTGGCACAAGGTAATAGTAAACATTCATGGGTTGGAAGGCAAAATTAGCCCCTCATTCTTCTTCAGCTTTCCCATGGAAAGCGATTCGTGAAGTGTACCCAGACTTTCTTAATTCCACCATGTTTGATGTGGGAAGGGGTGACAAAATTCGGTTTTGGGAGGATTGTGGGTGAGTGAAATTCCACTTAAAGATCAATATCCTGATCTCTTTGCTTTGTCTCTCCTTAAGGGAGAAATCATCTTCAAATAGGGAACACCTCCAACTGGGATGGACTGGAACTTGGGGTTCAGAAGAGAGTTTAGAGAAAACAAATGCTCTTCCTTGATTCACCTCTTAGACACTCTAAGACAAGTTTCTTTGGACCCTTCCCTTGAGAACTCTAGAATTTGGTTGCCTTCCCTAGATGGCCTCTTCACTTGCTCTACCTTCTACAAATCCCTTGCCTCATCTACCACTCAAGGGGTGGACTTCCGGGTGAAAGAGATATAGTGTAAGCCTATCCCCCCTAAAATTCAAGCCTTCTGCTGGGAAATTTTCCTTTGTAGGGTAAATACTTGTGATATGATACAGAGAAGAAGGGCTTTTGTTTGCCTTTCTCCTCATATTTGCTTCTTGTGTAGGGGCAATGGTGAGAACCTATCTATTAATCTCCTGTCTTGTTGTGCATACTGCATAGAATTTGGGTGTTTTTCCGCTCTCTTTCTGGTTGCAGATAGATCCCCCCCTTTTCAAGGGGACTCAGCAAACGCATATATGCTTGCTTGGGAAGCTAGAGCTCTCAGAATATGATTATCTTTTGAGAAAAGATTTAGGGGTCATTTGGCAACATCTATGTGGCTGAACTGAATACTTGTTTTGTCTTCACTGCCCC